ATTTTTAATGAATTCTCCCTACATGTCTCTTTGAGCTTTTCCTGAATTGCTGTTGTGGTTAATTCTTCTCACCTGTAGAAGTTAGCTATAGACAGGTTTTTCCTAGCCCTAGATAGTCAATAATTTGATCTTTACTGATGGTGGGCCCATTTATCACAGTAAGTTGTCCTTTCACTATACATATTGACTTTTATTTATCAATACCAAAGTCCATTTGTAGCTCATCGCTAAAGTTCTTGGATATTTTCAGTAGTTTTTGAAGATGCATTTTAAAGCTTGGCAGAGAGATACTTTTGACATCAATATAGTGTAAATGGTTGCTAGGTTCATCCTTAACTTAAAATCAACTGTTTATTTCCTCTATAATGGATTCTGAAATAGTCTGCATTTGGGTGGGGGGTGGGGTTGAGGAGACGAAAACGACAAACTCTTCTTGGCAGTTCTACCACAGAAAGATGTAAGGCTCTTCCATTTACTCATCACACACCTCAAAATATTGACAACTGAAAGGTCAGTGTTCTAACTATCTTTGTATTATCTTTGGTAGCTAGATAGAAGGAGAAGTCTATGTACTTTGTATTCATGTGCTTGACTATGGTGTATTTAATGAGTCTAATTTTTCTAGATTCTAAAGAAATGAGTGGTTCAAATGTAGACAATATGAAATTAGTAATTTTTAAACCACATTTAAGAACACCTAAAGAGGAAACCCAGAAGACTGTATGACACAGACTCAACAGAAGGATTTACTGTAAAAAAAAAATGTGAAGACAGGGTCATCAGTGGTTATACTCCTCTATGTTTCTCTAGTCTCTAGTTTGGTTTTGATTAACCTCTAAAAATTCCCTCCTTACTTTTCAAATCATGTGCAGAAAGATGGTATTAACTCTTACATGAAGCCAGGCTTAGGCAGCAAACAATTCCAAGAAATATCCCCTCACCCCAAGAAGAGAATGACCACTGCCAAAAATCTCTATCACCTTCCACAAATAGCAGCTGGCCCTTCCAAGTTAGGCCACTATGTAGTAAATATAGAACCCTTGTTAAAAATCCATATCATTTACAACATGAAAAAATCTGCAGTCCAAATAATGTTTTCAGTACAATGACTTACATATGATTTAAAAATATATCCCATCTATCACACATATGGACTTTTTGGAAGTATTGGAGATATCGATAGGAAAATAATTAATAAAAAAAATAACAGTTTGAAATGTTGGTCATCTGAACAGAATAAACCACTGCAGTAGCAGATAAAACTCAGACTAAAATCTTAATTGCATCTTATTCAAGGGCATAAAAATAATGTACAGTCTGCAGAGGTCAAGAAAGAGTAAAAGACCACTCAGATTTGTGGAATGAGCAGTGGAAAAGAAGTTAAAGGCCTGAGTTTAAATCTACTAGCTCAATATGGTGGTCATGAGGATCACTTCCTTGGCTGATAATTTCACTGTCTCTCCAGTCTGAAGGAGTTAGTATGAAATCGACTAAAAAAATCTTTCCAGAAGCTTACGCGAAAAAAAAACAAACAAACAACTACATTAAATTCAAGTATAAGTAAATACCAATGCAATACCCACAGATCCCATAAGACTATATAATATTTTAAATTAGAGGGAGGTGTAATCAGTGAAAAGCCTTTAAGTGGTAACACCAAATTTGTAAACAAAGAGGATGCCATTTGAACAGGCCTCAAATTCAGTTTACAAAGTGATTCTTTCTGGACAGATGTCTTATCAGGAAAACATATCTAGATAAAGAGCTATGTAAATATGACCCTTAATTTAAGAATACGCATTCTGAGATAA